GCCCTGAGCTGCTCCGGCAGACTGTATGCAGGAGGGCATTTAACAGAGATTATTATGATAACTCCCCAGGGCCTAAATCCTGGTGGCGGTGGAAGCCGTAACATGCTGACTCCTCCACTGATGAGGCGCCAATGAAGAGTAATGGTCCATTCAGACCGCAAACGCTCAAACGCTGAAGCCCCGCCCACCAGACGCGCATTCTCTAGTTTTCAGACGCAGGGGTCTTCACACCAGAATGTCCTGACACGAGCAGGAAGTACCGGAAGTAGCCGGCCAGCTCTGATGCTAACAGAGCTATGCTAGCGGCTTCTTGTGTACAGATCTTCTCCAATATGCAGCTTTGCAGCGTGTCTTTGCTCACAAACATTCCACAGGCTTTATATAACAATAGTATGTGTTCACGGAGGTGCGCCATACGTTTTTTCATATTATTAAACGGTACTTCCGCATCGGCGAACACTCAAAGCAGAACACTCAAAGCAGTTGCATAAGGTCACGGGAGCATGACAACGCATATTTTCAGAAGCACAGAGTCCCCCATTGGTTTGAGTTCTGGTGAAGCCTGGTGTGGGTCCTGTTTTGGCTGTTTACGAGTATTTTCAGTCTGCCCGCTCAGTCCGCTAATGTCCCCGTGACCACTTTGCTGCTCTCTGATTGGTTCTCGCATGAACGTCCCGAGGAAAGGATGAGCAGAATCCATCTCCTGTGGGCGTCGATTTTTCGCTCCTGCTCCTCCCCTTTGACTTTCCGGCCAAGTTGCAGTGTTGTGACGCTGCAACGCGCTTCATCATAGACTTTGCATTGAAACCCGACGCAACGCATGATTCGGTCTGAACGCGCCATAGGTGGGTTTCTGCATGAACAGCAGTTTGATGGAAGGACTGAGAAGCTGTGCCGCTGATACCGACTCCTTGAAGAGCTCAGGCGCAGGTGTGTAGCAGAGGGAGGTCTCAGTATGGCAGGTGAGACAGTGAGCACTGAGAACTATGTCTCAGTCCTCCAGTCTGAATTTCAGGTTTAGCTGCACAAAGATAGAACCTGCTCAGAGCCAAACACATGCTGACCCTGACTAATGGAGCATATTATGTTTTCAGTGTTCCCAGAAAACATAAGCGAAGGTCACTTAACACTGATAAGAGCTTTATTTAAAAGTTATAGTCTGATCAGTGTAGCATTAAATTTGCTTATTGTTTCAGTTTTTATTCGAACCCTTTGACTTAGTCCTAATGATGCATGTCTGGCGTTTAATAGACCAACATTAGAGAAAACATCAGCAAAGCCAAACTGCGGGTAGACTCAATGACTCTTTATAAGTGGTGTATACTGTATAGTACTGTATAGCTTGTCCTGAATAGAAAAGGACTGAACTCCAGTTTTAACCTGCAAATAGAAGCTTTTCTGACTGATTTAATCTTTTCTGAAAAGGCCATGTCTACTGTGAGAGTTTGCAGCCTCCAGAGCTGCAGCAGTGTTAACATACTTTATTTTATTTCTACAAGTTTTTGATTGTGTTTTTTAGAAGTAGCCTCCACTTTGAAGTGCGATGAACTGATAACAAGAGTGAGTGCTCATTAGTGCTGAGATTCGCATGCTCCCAGATGCAAAATTGCACCACCTGCATGTGACAGCCTGACCTCTGAAGCTAAGCAGGGCAAGGCCTGGTTACCACTGTGATGGTAGACCTCTGGGAACACCAGGTCCCACAGTGGGGCAGCTGTAGCTGTAAAGTGAATACACACATTGCCTAGAATGCGCCTGGTGTGTTTGAATGTTTGGTGGTGTTCAGAGGGGCCCACACTACATGACCGTTGGCTTGCTTGTGTGGTAAAAAAACAATGCATCATTAGCAAGGTAGGATAGTGCCTCGTAAACACTGTAATGGGAGACCTCTAGGAACATCAGGTGCACATGCCTGGTGAAACTCTTAATTAGTTTTCAAACTAAAAGATAACAGAAAACACTCCTGGCCTGGTACATTTTTTTTTTGGCAGTTCATGTTGAAATCTCTAGGCAAACGCACTATTCATGGAGTTAAAGAAAATTCACACTGCCGGGTAAAAGTTTCAATTGGACAGGAAAGTGAATTGGTGGAATACAATAGATGAAAATACAAAAAGCCAATTAATGCAAAGTGGATTTCTGGTACAATTTGTATTTCTGCTGTGACCGGATCATGTTGACTCTCACTTATATTCAGCTTGTAACTGTGGATAAGTCCTTTGGGCCTGTTTGCTGAGTACGCACATGTCGTTCTTTGATCCTTTCAAACTAATGCATTCAACAAGATGTCAGTGAGTAGCATATGACTGTTGTCAGCCTTCAGCAAAAATCTCAATAGGAAATAGACATCCACTCTTTAATTTAATCCCCAAACAAGCTGCGCCCACTAATACTCATGGATCACACACATTTAATTGGCCATTCACATGAGAGAAGTCTCAGCAGAAAGATTTTAATTGGACTCCCAATCATGGCCCATTAGGGAACAATAAAACCTAATGTGGAAGTGCAATTTCTGTGTCTCAAAGAAATGCTGAAACAAGGGACTGTAAGTAAGTGTGGAGGAAGCCAAGGCGGGCTAAATGTGTTTATTACCTCATACGTCTCATAACCCATACTTTAAAAGTGATGGGGACATGTGGTTTAAAAGGAGTCATCTCTAAAATGTATTCTCATATTAAGAATTTGATTAAATGCATTTTTGTTTAGTGCAACAATTTCTGAGAACTTTCACGGGCCATTGGTTCATAAGAGGCGGATGACCAATGTCCATAAATGTTAATACATGTCCTTAAATGTCCTGAATCATCACCACCGTACTTAGACCCACCTGCATCGGCAAGGAACTACTCAAAAACCCTGTGGGAAAATTACCTGGGGGAGGCCCACATTGAGAGAAGGATCTGCTCCCACAGACTGGCAGGCTGTAGATCCAGGACTCAAGCTGTGGTAGTATATGGATGCACACATGGACGATTGTTTTCTATGTTGTACAGACTTTCTTCCTGACCCACTAATTCAGGGGTGCTCAATACGTCGATCGCGATCTACCAGTCGATCGCAAAGGTAGTATTGGTAGATCGCATTAAATAAATGAAAAAATTACACATTCTAAACGAATATATACAAAAAACTCCGGGTAAAGTGGAGATTTTTGAAAACTCCGTTAATGCATTTGTGTGTAGACAGAGATAACCGGAGTTTTGCGTTCTCGCACGCCACAGTACCCCCCTAAATTCCTCTGATCACTGAAGCATGGATCATACGACCTTAAAAACTGTTTGCTGTGAGATGCTCGCAGCAGCGAACATCCTCCACATCAGAGAGCAGCAAAGTGATCGCAGGGACTCACGCTCGAAAACAACCAAACCAGGACTAAACCAGGACTAAACCAATACTAAACCAGGGCTAAACCAGGGCTAAACCAGGGCTAAACCAGGGCTAAACCAGGGCTGAGGACGGGGTCAGTGCTTGTAAACATACGTCTTACTCTGAGTGTCTTCTATGACTGTAAAAGTGCCGTTACCGGCGTCTGCATCAGAACTCCGCCCACTTCTGTGTTTTTCTCCAACGCAGGACAGGACGTAAGAGACGCACATGTTTGGAATGTTACGAATGTGATTGATAACGCAGATGTGTGGATGCAAATTATTTTATAAACTGAGGAGGGGAAATATTTGGATTTAAAAAAAACAGGCATGGCACATGGACATGGCACCACAGTCAAATGACATCTGTGTTTTACTGACACTTAGGTGACTGCACATGCGCAAACAACCGCGCTCAGTGCAGGAAAGCTAAACCACGACGAACTTGTCAGCGAGTTACCACCAATTTTCCGGACTATGCATCCCTGGCCGATTCAATTCAGTGCAAGTCATAAGAGTAAACTCGGGTAATGACAAAAAATGTACATAGGTAATTGTGTTGTGTTGTGCTATATTGGCTCATGCGGTTTTGCATGTACATAAACATACATTGTAGATATAAAGAATATTTTTTGAAATATATGGTTTGCATCTTTGTAGTAGGTAGATCATTTTGACTTGATCCTTTTATAAGTAGCTCGCATGCTGAAAAAGTGTGAGCACCCCTGCACTAATTGTTCCAGCAGGAGAGATAAAAAAAACGTAGGTTAGTATTGCGTAGCCTTCGGCAGAATGCAGAGACATAGATTTAGTGTGTCCTGCATGCGTTTCAAATTGGTGAATTAGCAGAGTGACATTATGTGTTTGTGCACTGGTGTGTAGCCCGCGCCTGGGAGTATCTCACTGGGTCAATTGAGGAAATACATTCAACAGCCCAACTTGTTTCATAATTGACAGCATACAAAAACAAAATTGCGCATTACAACAGTCACATTCCAAATAGAAATGTCACAACTTTGTTCAGTAGCAATTTCCCAACAAGCTTGGTAAAAACATTGGCCACCATTGTTCCTGTTAGGAAGGTAATAAGTGCTTTTTTCCATCGGAAATTGAAGAACAGACAACATTATATCTTGTGTTGATGTATTTACATCATTGGAATTGCACCCTGATTGTCTTCAAAAATGATCACAGAAGTTTATAAGAATAAGAGTTTTTCTGTATACACAAGAGTCAGCACTGTAAACTGTGGCATTTACGCCCCCAACGGGAGGCCTGGCTAGCTCCTGCTGCCTCATGCCGCTCAGTCAAATATGAGAAAAGGTTGAGAAAATTCTGCAATTTTGAGTAAAAAGATAATAAAATGAACCAACGTTACGAGGAAAGTAACGCAATAGCACAAATCATTTCACAGGCACTGCCTCCAGACTGAAGATTGAGCCAGAGTTGTGTTGTCATTTTTTATGACAAATTTTTACATAGTTCTTCATACAGTTCTTTTAAAAAGAACGTTTACATTTAAGACGTATTGTTTTGTTTTATCAAGCATTGCTTTTAGAGCTGAGATGGAGATTAGACATTCTATATTGACTTGTGCACTTTCACTGAGACACTTAGACCAATAGATACTTTTTAACTTTTCCACTCAGTTACTTGGCTTCCGTCATGCCTGGTCAGCCTGTTCTCCCCTGATCTCTTGCTACCGCTGGTCCCCTGCTCTCCCAGGTCCTCTGCTCTCTCCTGGTCTTCTGCTCTCCACTGGTCTTGTGCTCTCCGCTGATCCTCTGCTCTCCACTGGTCCTCTGCTCTCCACTGGTCCTCTGCTCTCCACAGGTCCTCTGCTCTCCACTGGTCCTCTGCTCTCCACTGGTCCTCTGCTCTCCACTGGTCCTCTGCTCTCCACTGGTACTCTGCTCTCCACTGGTCCTCTGCTCTCCACTGGTTCTCTGCTCTCCACTGGTCCTCTGCTCTCCACTGGTCCTCTGCTCTCCACTGGTCCTCTGCTCTCCACTGGTACTCTGCTCTCCACTGGTACTCTGCTCTCCACTGGTCCTCTGCTCTCCACTGGTTCTCTGCTCTACCTGGTCCTCTGCTCTCCTTGGTACACTGCTCTCTCCTGACACTCCCTCTAAATTACTTAAGTCATTTTGGACTCAAAAGGGCAAATCAAAGGGTTTTCTTACAGCTTCCAAAAACACAATGGCCACTATTATTATTCTCACATTACCGGAAAAAAGTTCATAACAATAGAAATTACCTCGTTTCCCCTCGTGAAAGATGCGTGCGCTGTGACAGGACGGTGGGGCACTGCTGTAACTTACCGCTGATACAAAGATAATTAAAAGGAGATGTATGGTCGGAGTAATGAAGCTTCTGCAAAGTCATTCACAAGTGTCATTATGACCTGGGCCGCAAGTAAACAAGCCGCTGTTAAGGCTCTATTTATAAAGGCAAATGTCTGAGAGAAATGCTCCAGTAAATATTGTTGTCGAGTCAATGATTATCACTTAAGTATCATCATTGTTCCCGTGAAGGGCGAGTTCACATTTCCTTTTTGTGCATGTGTTAATGTGAGAGAAAGGAAAAAATAATTTTGGATGAACAAATTGTGTAAAATAAAAGGTTATGTGGGGTTTTATTAGAAGAACTCTCTGCCACCTACTTTACAAAACTTTATCCACGATAGAGACGCTCTCCATAAATACAGATTAAAGGGAAGCAAATAGATATATTGAGATTGAGAGACCCTTTATTTGTCCCACAGTGGAGAAATGTCAGAGTTGTGTCACAAGTTACAGAACAGTAGGAATGAGAAGCAACACAACACAAGATAAGTATAGCACAACTCTAAAATAAAAACTCTATCTTTAGCTTAACAAAGAAGAAGCAAAGTATAAAATGCTGTATTCTGTAGTGCAAGTATATATGTATGTATACAGCTGTAGATACGTCTGTAGTATTTTTTCAAATTATAAAATTACGAGCCATATCATTTATAGGACATAATTGATGAGCAATACTTTAGTTTTGTGATGTTAAAGTGGTACAATGACATCATACTATTAAACGACTGAGACACGAGCTGTTTTAGACAGACATTAGCCTGGTTGGACCTAAAAACAGCTCCTGGTCTGTGACTGATGAAGAACAATGTTGCAGCTTTGTTAAAAACACTGAATTTGCAGAATATGTGCAGAATCCTCTTTAAAAACAAACGTTTCAGTGGCCCCTTATCAAATGATTTACATAAGGACATAAAGGACTGCAACAGTATTGTACGTTTTATTAACATTTTGAAAAGGAGAGCTCCTAATACAATGTGTGCAATTTCTTCTCCTATTCCCCATGGGTTGTATATCATCATAATTCGTGTACCCTTCGATCATTAGTCATTCCGTTTCAAAATAAAATCAGAAAATCCAAATTTCCATTCGTTTATTGTTCTTTTCCTTTCCTAAACTTGAATAAAAAAATAAATCCTTTATGCTTCAATATCAATGTGTTTGTATTGGCTCTATTTGTTTAAAATTCTCAAAAGAATTATGGCATTACTATTATTTCGTTTTATTATTATTTGCGACACTGGAAAAGAGAAGAGACCTCGCGGCAGGGGGGCTACAGACGCGGGGGGTGGGACCCAGGGACTCCCCTGGTCCCGGGGTACCCGCGGTGTGAATTTGACGCACGGGGGATAAAGGACCAGAAAGTTATGGCCCTTGGAAACCACCGGGGGACCGCGCGTCTATAGCGCTCATTCTGGGGGAGGAGAGGACCGCAGCAGCAGGGTCAGGACGCACGCTGCTCCATACTCCCGTGCTTACGGCCATACCACCTTGAGAATGCCCGATCTCGTATGATTTCGAAAGCTAGGCAAGGTCAGGCCTGGTTAGTACTTTGATGGGAGACCGCCTGGGAATGGCTCATGACCCCCCCAGGTACCTATCCTGAGATTGCCAGGTGCTGTAATCATTTTGCCCCTGGAGCTCGGGCCTGGGGGCGAGCTCAACAACAGCGCGAGTTGTTGTCGTGTAGTTGAGTTGAGTTGAGTGCAGCTTGCAGTTGTTTCCGTCTCTCATCATCAAACAAAATAATGGAAGTTGTTTTAGTAGTGTTTGTTTCCACTGCATAGCAAAGAAATGGGTGAATATTTTATTTAGAATGTTTTGATTTTGCAATTTAATTTAGAAAATGGAAATACAATAAAACAACCACGTAATTTGTTTTTCTGATTTTATTTTGAAACGGAATAACTAATGATCAAAGGGTACACAGATTCATCATACATATATATGTATATAAATGTAAATGTATATTTGATTTACATTAAACTTGAAACAAAACGATCAATTTTGTTGAACAAAGGGATGTCCAATTGTTGCAGTGGTATTACAATACCTTGCATGGCCTCTACTCTGGGAGCATTTAGTTTATTCATCTCCACATGCAAAAAGGTTTTTAATCATTGCAACTTTGACTGAGAGAACACTGATCACTGCCAAACTCAAGTGAAGTAGAGGCTTTTAATCAGGAGTTAAACAGTTTTGCTTTTGTTTTTATTGTTTTAATTTATTTTAAATGCACATGCACAATGGCCCAAGGAACCAGTCTCTTCAGCTGAGAATAGGCAGCTTGACAGTCAATACATCCATGTTCTGATTCTGTTACAGAGGAGTGGGAATGAGGAGCAACACAACAAAACACAACTAAGCACAACTCTTATAAATAAAACTCTATCTTTAGCCTAATAAAGAAGCAAAGTATAAGTATCTTTGTTTGAGTACATATTGGTCAAAAGGCCGTTGGTCTTGTGTTTTTAAATAACTCATTCCAATCGAGCATTTGAAATGGAAAAAAAGTAAGTAAGTAATCTTTATTTGTATAGCGCCTTTCACTGACCAGAGTCACGAAGCACATTACAATTATTGTGGGCATTTGTCTCCCACTCCACACTGAGAGATGGAAGTGGGGTCGACATACAAGAGGCGCATACCAGACCTATTGTCCATGTTTTATTGTGCACTCTTGTATAGTTGTATATTGTGTTTTGTATTCTATTTTTTGTCTTTTTGTCTTTTTTATTTTAGAGACTCACCAGACATGTACACACAAGACACACAACACAACATAACGCAATGACAAATCCCACCCACCAGGCAACCTCAAAACAAAATACACAAGCCCGCCGACAGATGCATAACTAACACGCAAGACACAAAAAATATATATATATAACTAAATAAACAACAACAAAAAATAAGAAAAACAAAGCAAAAAAATTAAAAAACATAGAGACCAAACACACACAAGTCCCCGAGGCCTTCATCTACTTATCCATTCTCTCATTTCCCATTTTTTTTGTTTTGTATTCTTGACCTGCCTTGGGACTACGGATATAATTTAGCAGTTTTGCTATAATCCGGCACCTCTACAATTTGTGTACAACTTGTATATGATTGTTCATTAATGTGTGCCAAGATTTGTTCTTTCCTTTTGCTAATTTAGACATTTATCAAAACGGGGACACCAAACTTTCAAACCTCCTGTTGCTTCCTCTGATATAAAAGTGAAGAATGGAAAGGTTAGCCTGTTTTCCAATAAGTTGAAGACAGCAACTCTTATCTACGAGGGACTTTCAATTTCATACAATATATTTGGACCTTTTGGCCCTTATCTAATTACAAAATATTATCATTTTGAAATATAATTTTTTTCACACTTTTTGGATATTGTATCTCGTTAAAAACTTTTATCTAAAACAATCTTTTTTTAAGAACAACAATTTATAACCTAGAATGGTAGCAGTTATGGTTAATTATTCTATTCTTCACTATTTATTCTGCAGTTGAGTTTGGAGTGGTTTCCGTGCACGTCCCAAATGCTATTAGAATAGAAACTCCGCTCTCCAGTTTGACTACGGCTGAAGATGGAGTCCTTGAGATGAGCTGTGCACCATCTGCCTCCAGTGCAGTGGGACAAGAGGCTTCCATCTGTAATCTCTCCTCCTCCGCCTTTGCTCTGCACTCGCTCCTATCTGATCCCAGGTGTGGAATCCTTTGAAAGTCAAGCAGCCCAAGCAGACAGTGACAGAACAAAGCCACGGGCCATTAAAACCATACATATATTTCATCTTCTTTTGATTGCGAAGAGCCGAGACTATTCCAACATACGCTTGCAGACAGGCGCGCTTCAGAAATGAGAAATGGACTGTGTTCATTTTCCGCAGGTTCACGTGGAATCAAATGATTCAGACTGTGCCACCAGCACAAAACGCATTCAAAATGTAAAATAAAATACAATAATCTTAAAAATGGGTCATGGCATGAAAAATCAATATTTCACATGTCTGAGCATGCTATAGTTATTTCCCCTTGTCATTTAACTAGTAATCCATTGTTAGAAATACTTAGGACTTTCATGTTTATACTGTTATTGGTCCACAAACAAGCTACACCATGCTTCTGATGTGTATGTACAATGCAAATTATGAATTGGTATAAAAAGGCAAAAGTGTAAAGCAAATCAGTATGGAGCTAAAAAAACAATGTTTGTGTAATGCATCTGTCTCTTATAACAAAGCAAGTCCTGCTGTATCTAATTTTAGCTTCTTTGAATATTATCTGAGAGAGAACGCACAAAAATCCCTATGTCCAAAAGGTCAGCTGGTCCTGGAGATATTTATTTCCCAGAATGCCACAGGTGATTGTAATCTTTGTAATCTTTATTGTAATCTTTATTTATATACCGCCTTTTCACTGCAGATCTGAGTCTCAAAGCGGTTTACAATTGTTAATTATGGGCATTTATCTCTCACTCCACACAGAGATGGGAGTGGGGTCGCCGGTACAGGAGGCGCATGCCAGACATGCCTATTGGACATATTTTTAGTGGTAGGGGAAACCGGAGTACCCGGAGGAAACCTACGCAGACACGGGGAGAACATGCAAACTCAACTCAGAAAGACCCTGGTCCGACCGGGATTCGAACCCAGGACCTTCTTGCTGAGAGGCGAGAGTGCTATCCACTCAGCCACCGTGCCGCCCTGTCACAAGGTGATAACACTTGTGACAGGAGAGAAGAGGCAGCTCACAGTCGCACGCTGAGTGAGCAGCCTCCAGTTCATTCGTATCACCAGTCCAATCGTTTTATTTATAACTGTTACACAAAAGTGAGCCACTGTCCCCTCTGTCCCGCGGCCTCTTTCACATATTCTGCATAATGACATTCACGCGCACTGACCCTGACAAAAAATGTCCACAATGAAGAAAAGTCCCTTGTGTGAGAACAAACCACAGTTTGCAGTGAGAAAGTACAATGACAAACACCTGCCATCGAAGGGTCAGCTGTGGAAGGCCTACAAAAGGACATTTCGAGCATAGACTCCAGATGGTCAAGGCTAACCCACTAACTCAAGGCAACCTAATAGGGAGGTGCTCATGGATGAAGTTTTGCCCCTTCTCGCTCTGGCTCCTATTGCCTTACATTGAAAAGTAAACTCTAGCTAAGTCGTTTGTGAGTGTCCTGGTGGCCATGAAAGCTGTCATCCAGTTAAATACACAGTTTAGTTGATATTGTCTAGTAAATCCAGATATGAGCCTTGTGCATTGACCAATCAAATGCCTTAATTCACTGGGCAACTCCAGCTTGCAACCATGTTAGCAACACATTGGTTTGCATCTGCCCCATGGATCTATTATAATATAGGGTATTAAAGCAGTACTAAGTAACTTGCGCTTAGCGCGCCCTCTAAAGGTCACTTTTGGTTATGTCACTGTCGTAAACACTCCGCACCCTCCGCCGCCTGCCCCACCCCACAGCTACTGTACATGCGCACCTTTGCTCTCCCAAGACATACAAGGATAACATCGTTGAACAATACGAACAGATGTCTGATGAGGTGGGTACAATCAAATATGATCTAAAAAAAATAAGTAATGTAAACAAGTGCCAGTTTGTCTTTCCAAAAAATCTATACATTTTCTCCAAAGACCACTCAGCCTCATCATGTGTACTGCCAATGTTTAGTTTTGTAACTGTTTACAATACTACAGGAATTACTTTCGAATTCATCATCATCTGATGAATTCACTGTTTAAGCCATGGGTGCTGGCGGTGCGAGGCCCAAGACCGGAGCAAGAAGTCGAGGTCGCGGGGGGAGGAGAACTACACGACCTAGGGACCTGACTTCTGACGATCAAAGAAGGCTGCAAGCTCTGCAGGACCGACGTATGGCTGAGTTACAGGTATAACTGTGCTACTAACATTGTGGTACTGTACTGTATTATATTGCCTTTAAATATCTTTTTACCTTATGGTTCACATAATACACATATATTACATGTATGCTTATAACACACTAGTACAACCTATGAATGTGTTGTAGGAAAAAATTATATCACTGAGGCTGGAGCAGAGAGACATCCTTCTGCAGCGGGTTGTCCAGAGGACACCTGGGATGCTTTTTGATATTCTGTCCCTACTAGAGAACCCACATCCCACCCGTCCCATAACTGCTGTCAACTGGTGCATCTGCGGGAATTGTCGAGAGATGAACACAGATATCGAAAAAAAATGCTGCAGACAAACCCCAGAACAGTGCATCAGCAACATGGCGCATATGCAGTATTATGTTTTGGATGAGGGAGTTTTGCGTTTGGCCGCAGCTGCTTGGAACGATATCTTTGCCCTTGAAGACAATCCGCAGCCTGGTGAAGAACATCGTTGTATGAGACATACTGCTTATCAACAGTATGTCCTCTGGCAACATGGACGTCTTGGTGAGGGCAACAGAGTGGTCATTCCCAGCTGCTGTGTGTGGAAAATAAGAGACAAATTTCCAGACCCTATGGAACAGAACACTGGATTCAAAGTGCGACGCCTTGTCTAAATTATTACACTTTTACAGTTTTTGATGTTTTGTTCAATAATAATGTACATGTTATAATTCAAGTGACATTTTATCTAGAAAATAAAGCATTTATAAAAAAGCCTTGTTATTATATTTACATTGAGTACTACATTATGCACACGATAAAACGCCATTACACTGTCGCATCATCAAGTCTTCTTGGACCAGTATCCCCCCGGGACACATGTGCCCTCACTAGTTCTAAAGTGGGTGGTGGCTGCACAGGAGCAAGTACACCCAGACGTCTTGGGTCATCAGGGTGCATAGTTACTCGACGGGGAAGGCCTTTACCACTTTGTAGCCTCACAGCAAGGATGGCCTTTTGAATCTCTGGGATGTAGGAGTAGGTTTTCTTTTCTTTCATTTCGTATGCACTCCATGTTGTTGACTTTTTGTTGTAAGACTTTCGGTACCTAGACAATGAAAGTAATATTGAGTGAATAGCAGAAATATGCAAAGACCTTACACAAAATTTCGCAGTAGTAACTTGCATTTTCTGTCCTTCCTTGTTGCGTGCAGGCCTGCGTCGGTTGTGTTTATTGTAGTCTATGGCAGCAAGGCAAGTCCGCGCTCTATAAATGTCCAATGTGTAGGACATGCGCTTTGCCGCATACATCAAGATGTGATTTTGGAAGTTTTCCAAGTCTGATGTAGATCTGTGTGAGAAAAATAAAATAAAATAAAAAATGCTGAAAAATACAACACATTATATTGTGTAGTGCAGGGGTCTCCCACATTTTTCCTTGAATCAGAAAAGACAAATGTTTTGCAGATGTGTATGTTCAGTGTGTTCCTCAATCATTAGGTGCATATAATTTTGCAAAAACCATAACACTGATGACTCAGCAAGCTTAGGTAGATTATGTTGAAACCTTTGGGGTGCTCATATGAGACACTGGAGAGCTAGTGCTAACTCATCCCTGTTTTTAAAGAAATAAGTACTTATCTGAAGTTTATAAACTTCTTCACTTGAGTCAGCCATCTCTTCTCAAACACAACTTCTGTCAGTACCCGATGAGCTTCAGAACCTGCCAGCATGTGTTAGTACATAACTTCATAATTTGCCCTGATTGAAAAAGGAAAAAACTACCTGGCTTGATCCAAGGCTTATCCTGACTCTCTTCAGCAAGTGGTTCATGTTCACAACTTCCTGTTGCCCAAGTGTGTTTATTGCAAACATGATGAATTACTCCAAACCACATCATCTGCCCCCCCAAATAAAAAGTGTAAATAGTAATCAAGAAAAAAAGCAAGATACACACCCAAAAAATGTTATAAATGCGAAGTACCTTGAAATGCTCCTCAGTTTGTGCTTGTTTGCTGCAATACCAGAAATGATTAACTATGTCCTTTGTCCACACAATGATTTCCTTCTGCTTCTTCTTAGTTCCCACCTGTTCATGGTACACAAGTAGCATGTTTGGTTTTAGGCATGAACAATGATCAATTCCTACCATATGATAATAATCACAAAATGTTTTAGTCAACAGTACATAGACAATTACTACTTACTCAACGCAGCTTCTTGCTGAGGCTTTTTGCAGCATGCCAAATGTCCAGGGAATGTTGAATTCCCTTATATTTGCCTCGCACAGGGTCTGTAACACATAATGTAGCGTCATCACATCCCAGCTGCATGCAATTTACGAATAGGTTATGTTGTCCTTACGAAGCAAAGCGGTAATCTGTGGGTGAGCATCAGTGACCACCTCTTTTATCTGCAAGTCAGGTAGCAAAGCTTCCATGGCGCGGCAAAAACACTCCTTCTCCATGATCACAGAGTTCCTACCAACCATCCTCTTGTCTATGGAGTCAATGTAAACAATGTCTCTCGACAACTGCTCAATAGTGGTGTAGGTGCAAACATTTGCACAGTGACCTGAGGCATAAGAAAAACGGTCAGCAAACAACTATCCAAATTGAGCTGCTGAGATTACAAAGATTACCAGGAGAGTCCATTCTGCCATCACCTAGAAAATAAGATAAAATGAAAAATAAAAAGCGCATACTGTGTAAAGGCTAAAAGCTTAGATACATTTGTATCACAGCCATAATGTTATTAATTCTTTGAGCAAATAAAAGTGCACTCACCAAGGAGAACAACACCATCTTCACGACGCTAGCGTCCAATGACTTCCGCTCTTGTTTGTTCCCAGTATTTCAATACAGGTCCTTTGCAATATGCATCTTGAATCCTAAAAAAGGTTGACTCTGCAACCATTCCTATTCCCATAAACTTGAAGAGGAGAGCCACCTTTCTGTAGTTGTTGCCTGAAAGTAGTATATTTGCAGATAACATGAAGTCACCACCCTGCATTTTGAATTTTAGTGTTGGCTGTGAATTCCAGCTCCACACCAGATGACCATTGGGGCATAACTGTAGTAAATAAAAAATAAAAAATACAATAGCGTTAGGGCAGTACAGTTAGTCATTTCATAGAAATACATAGCATTGTTCAACATCTTACCCAATTCAAAACCACTCCAGTCCCACGAGGTTTTAACACAACCTGAAAAGGTTGTACACCAGGACAAGGCTGACCAGTTAGTTTGTCGACATAGCTGCACTTCTGGACAGGCAGTCTCAGATGTGTGGCAAGGGAAAGGAGGTTGTCATTAAATGTAATATTTGCTCTTTTCCCAATTAGATCATCCTCAGTCTCTACACGATCGTCATCGGCTAAAAGATCCAATTCTTCTGGATCATCTGGGGTATCAAAATCAAGGACAGCCTCATCCACTGTGATTTCTCTGAGCTCCTCTATTCTCGTGCCAACAGTTCTGGGAAAGATATTACTTATTTATTATCATATCATCATATATCTAAATAAATAAATAAATATCTATATCTATATATCTATATATATATATATAGAGTTAATTATGTAGTTAGTGAGGGGAAATAAAAATTAAAGTACCGCAAACATAGTGAAGGGACAAAGTCCTCATCAGAGTCATCTTCAACATCTAAAATTTATTGAAGGAGTGCAATCTGAATAAATGGAAAAGGAAATGTTCAACACTTGCACTGTGTCTTTCAAATGGCTAGTTTCGCCCTCATCTGGAGAGTCAGGAGGATGGTCTTCTGCTATGCTCATGGAGTGCATGCTACAACAAAAGGCAGATAGCTATACAAGAAATATGAGATTCACACAAATAACAAAAGTAACCTTGTTTCCAGTGCCACCACTTCACTCTCATCAGGCAAAGGTTCAACACCAAGATCTTGATTGGCTTCGCATCTAGTAAGATAGATTGTTACAAATCACAAAAACGTCAAAATAAGCTTTAGATACAGTTATGAGAACATACTTATCCTGATCAGATTCCTCTGTAATGCTTGAGACGGGTAGAGTCGGTGGCCTTGCTTGCGCTTTGCTCGGTGTTGACGTTTGCCAACGATTATAACTATTAGAAGGAAAAAAAATGAAATGTCACAGTTCTCATAGAGAAAGAATTACCGATGTATACGTTTTTTACACAGAACATGAGGCTTCAAGCTAACCTTGCCCTGGTCGTGACGTACTGACAGTTGAAAAGCTACGCTACTTTCACAACTTCAGTTGCTGTCAGCAGATTTGCAAGCATAAAATATTTGCCTGAAGCACTCCTTTATCAAAATGCAGATCTGCAAACATAGTGTCCACCTGTGTCCACCCCTCTCCTCGCTGACCACGATCGCGCATCTAACGCGGAGTGCGCACGGAGCCATAACCGGTCAACTACACAGTAAATTATAGCTATCCGCAAGTTGTGCAAGATCACTTGTACATTCACACGTTTCACGCGGCTATTGTCAAAGCTACAGTCATTACTAGATTCGTTTGGTGCTAGATGGTAGCCATCTTGCTACCATCTGCTAGCAAGATGGCTACACGCGGATGTTGATACATTTGAAGGGCAATATATCACAGAAAAAAATCCTACTTTTACAAATAAACGTTACTAATAGACGTTATCAGATGAAGTACTTAGAAGTCCAGCAACAAGATCGCCAAGTCTGCATCCAATTTACAGCCTTCTTTTTCTTTGAGCTCTCGCCATCCAGCAAATGCATTCCCCAAGTTGATTCGTTTTTGCGCTCTGTGTCAATCCGATTCCTGTTTCTTTTTCCTCCCCTCCTCGGACAAAGGTCTTCTTTGCCTTTTTTTTGCTGGCTCCGCCATGATAGAAATGTGAGAAAATAGAATTTATACACAACCGTGAGCAGTCGCGGGGCTGGTGACAGTCTAAGATGAATATGTATTGGGCTGTCGTAAAGCAGTTCGTAGTGCCGCGAGAACGAGAACAGAGTTGCGAGAGTGGCACCGGTGCGGAGGCAGGCAAATCTGCAAATGTGGTTTTCTGGCCAGAGACAGCAGGGGGAGATGAAAAACTTCCCAATCATCCCATTAACACTTGTATTACCCCCAGAGAGAATATGAAAAGGATTTATTAAGGTAAATAAGTTACTTAGTACTGCTTTAATAGCTTGGAGCTGAAGGATCCATGTGCACAAACTGCTCGATTGTCTCCCGCTCTAACTCTGCTCTCCGCTCTAGCTCCGCTCTGATTGGTCAAAGCATGGCTGAGCTTCAGGCACGTATTTGACATGACACATTATGGGAGCTTGTCCACTGCGCAGAACCGGGAGGACCAGACAATGCCCAAATATGGGTGAGTTCTGCTAATCTTTCGGTGCCCATGGTGGCACATGCGCAACTGAGCACAAGCCAATGATTTGAATAGGGTGCCATCTTGGATCACCGGGGCTTGATCTGCCCCTACTATGGGCGTGATGGTCACCCTATCATAACAAATGCACATACAAGGAAATTGCTTGCAGGTTGCCAATATTTGGCAAGCACAATGGCGATGTCAGTACTCCTTGAGTCCACTCCGAATAGACAAGGAAGGTCTCCATTAATTCCCATGCTTTGAAAACTGGTAAAGCAATAATAATTACAGATATTTCAACAAGCATAAGACCACTCCTTCAGTGTCACTCTCAACACAGAGAGCCTTTCCATGAATAGCCAGTTTTCTGCAATCAAATCCATCCATATTCTTTATTGGTTGCCAGGTTGCAGGGAGCAGCAGTCTTAGAAGAGACACACAAACTTCCCTATCCACGCACAGAAATGTTAACAATGGTTTACAAATCTGTTGTCGCGTCTGTATTTTTTATGCAGCGGTTGCCTGGGGAAACTAGCTGGTCCAGTGGACTATCTCAGAGAGGCTGCAGAAACTCTCTGTACACTGCAGAACAGAACGCTTCAGGAAATCTTTCACCCTGCATGCTTGCAGCTTCTATAATCAACACTACGAGGGGCTTTAAACCTGGCTCATATTAAAGCTGCACTAACTGACTTTATTTTCGTATTAATTACGAAAATGCTATCCATGTCCATGTAGTGCATTGGGATATACGTCCTTTTGAAGAAAAAGTAGCGCAGATTTGTGCTGGCCTGACATTATATTTTTGATCGAGTTTTGATGAAACAAGGAAGAGAATGTGTTTCGGGTCGCAGATTGTGACCAATCACAGCGCACCACTAGCCCCCACTTTCGTCAGAAATCTCCAGGTCCGTTAGCATAGACAGCTGAGTTAGCACAACAAGCGGCGGAGCTAACTTGAAACTTTCTCGTCTTCGTCACCGGTTACTGCGTACACAGCGAAACAGCCATCCAAAAGAAAGTCTCGTTCCTCCGCGCTTCCCGGTTCTATCGTTCTATGGTCACGCCATCCACGTGAAAATCCATATCCATGTATTATCCATATTGGGAGAGGCTAGCTCCGTCTCAACACTGTGTGTGTGTGTGGGGGGCGATGGCTTCGTGGGTGCGGGGAGGGGAGCAGAAAGAGCAAGGCCAGCGGGTCCGCGGCTTCAAAATCCCAAAGTCAGTTAGTGCAGCTTTAACTGTCTGTCTGTCTCTGTTCTGAAAGAATTGAGTTGCCTTCCACACAAATCCACATGAGCATTTTACTATGTAAATCAGCAGTTCTGGTCGTTTTCTGAAATGAAAAATAGCGTGGTCTTTTTTTTTAAATCGTGGTCTTGCCACAGCAGGACGCAGCTGAGAAATGGCGCCTGTCAAAACAGTGCAGATTAAGATGGAGCCAAATACAAAAGCACGCGGCTCTAATGTAATGGCGGCGCAGGAGATGTCGCCTGTCAGTTGCGTTTAGTCGCACGCCTGTTTGGCCTCGGACCTGCTCAGCCATACGGCCCAGTGTTTATCCATGCGTGCACTGTTCCAGCAGCTAATACCCTCCGCAGCAAACGCATAAGGGGAATATGCATGAGCTCTGCGGAGAGGTTAAAAATATATACCCGATTTTACAACTTATTTGAGCAGTGATGTGTGGAAAGGCGCTGGTGTGACCATGAAGGCTGAGCTCGCAGAGATAACAGCCCGCCAACAGTCAGAGTGATGAAACAAACTGGTGGAATATTAGTTGTCCAAGAAATATAGTGTTTTGCAAGGAAGTCATTGCAGTAGTATTTTTTCACCATTGATCATTTTTATAAGGTGTTCAGAACATTTCAGACGGTTCGAGTCTTCTGGTGTCCTCTAATGTTGACAACATTAAAAAGATCTTTTTTATGCGGTCACCTGGGGAAACAGAATCTCTGTTAAAAACTGTCCACTCCTTCTACAGTATATGGACTGAACCAAAAGTAAGAAAGCCTTGGTTTTTCAGACCACTTATGTGGGCGGCACAGCGGCTGAGTGGATAGCACTCCTGGGTCCTGGGTTCGAATCCCGGTCGGACCAGGGCCTTTCTGGGCGGAGTTTGCATGTTCTCACCGTGTCTGCGTAGGTTTCCTCCGGGTACTCCGGTTTTCCCTACCACTAAAAATATGTACAATAGGTCTGGCACTGTACATATTTTTATGTGTGAAGTGCCCAAAAATAACAATTGTAAACCGCTTTGTGACTCTGGTCTGTGAAAGCCGGTAAATATAAATAAAGAT